CTCCAATATATTTTTTTCTGGACCTTCGTAGTGGTCGTATTCATTATAATGATAATAGCACACGATGAACTATCACCATCATTAATGTTGAATGAAGTTCAACTTTCAAATACAGAGGTACTTTATCTTGCTGAACGTTTGCAAATCAAAGAGCACATGAATCGTGAAGATACATTTAACACCATTGTCGAATTGGAACATTTTTACACACTTCTCAAAAACAATAATAAAGGAATGGGTGCACCATCGCCAATGGTTGACAAAGCATGGCATCATCATATCCTAAACACAAAAATGTACAATGCCTTCTCACGTCAGCATTTTGGTATAGAAATTCTTCATCATGTTCCTTTCTGGTCTGGTAACATAGCAGATATGGAGGAAATGTGGGGTGTTGATGGTGAACCTGCTCCATTAGAAGCGTACAATGCCCTAGTGGGTATGCTCGGTATTGAAAATGTGAATAAAACAGTATGGCTTATGAATGAAGATGAACTCAATCGTTTTCTGTGAAGATCAACAGTGCACTCTGAAATATAATTGACTTGATAATCGGCAATTGGAAAGCATTGTCTTTTGTCCTTCATATCATACTTCTTCTTACAGCTTTATGCTTCATCAATGTTTTCTACAAAACTCTTTGTTCTCTATCTAATGACATATAATGTACTAACCAAACGATGACATATGAGACAAACCTTTTGATATGCTGAACGTAATTCAATGTCTGTACGACACGCAAGCACTCTTATGGAATACTATGAACATGAAATCATCGATCTGAAAGGGACTTTAGAAAAATATTTCTTCATAGGTTTAGAAAGTATATGAATCAGTTGTATGCTAGTTGTGTTTAGTGTAAAAAGACGTAAAGAATGAAAGCATCTAAATTTCAAGCAGAGTACATTACTGAAAAGAGTGTTCTCAATTGCCAATAGTTTTATTTTCTCAACGTTTGATTGAATTTTAGTCGAAATCCATCTTTTTGCTGATTTCTACTTTAGTTTATCCTTGTTAAGAATGAGCATTTTCAAGATATTTGAATAATAAATCACAGTATATTTTATCAATCAAAAAGAATATTGAGAAACGAGTTATAAGAATAAAACAACGATGGAAGTCGAGTCAGTAAATAGAGAGCCACATGTAATTGCTACTGACTACTATCTGAGCAAACACAACACAATTCTTAGAACGAAGAGACAAATTTGTGGATCTATTGACCATGTCAGCTTCATGTCTTCACATCGAATAAAATTAAACTGTTCTAATTTTCTGGAAGTGTGAACAGTTACAGTATCACCTGCATAGTCAGCGAGATGTTCACACACTTTGATTGCTGTAAATCTTAGGTGCTTGTGAATTCAATTTATTACTGATATCTTGATTATGATGACAAACGGAAGAATCGTTAGAGAGAAAGATTAGAAATGCAATATCTGACTACAAATAAGATAGAACGGATACGAATATGTATATAAGAACAAGTTGGGAAAATTCCAATAGGTGATGCTGGGAAAATCCTAAATGAAAGATGTGGATATTTTCCACACTTGTCAATGTTCTTATATTCTTCACCTGAACAATTGCAATTTCCTATAATCGATGCATTATAACATATATCCTTCAAGGGCAAAAACATAAAATAAAATTTAGGCCAGTAAAATGACAAACTCTACTCCTCTTAATATCGGCAAGACACAAACTCCAGTAAAACTACTGATTATTTTAATGATACATGATATTTGAAGATTGAACATATATATTAAGTAAAATTCGAATACCAGTGTGTTAAAATCTTTAATAATTTTGACGATTTGAAGTTTTCAATGACAACTTATTTATCACTGAAGTACTAAAGAATCTTTTAACATATGTGAAAAAATATAGAAAGAAAGCATTTCAACAGGTGAATATGTTATGTGATTTTCAGACAAATATCTATACTCATTCGAATAGTAGTTTGATAGTCAATATTTCTAATTGATTTTGTCTCATTAAATTCAAGTTTCAGCTATTATACTACTCATAGTAAAACAAGAAAACCATAGAAATAGAAACATTCTCACAGATACATAATTGCATTTCCTCAAGAAAACTAAGATTCTTAACGAAAACATGAAACTTGCACAAAAACTTTTAAACTATAACATATGTAATCATCATATTCTCACTCGAGAATAATTATTTATCAATTAGACTATTCTCAAAATTTGCTAATTATATTATCACTAAAAATAAATAATAAGAAAAACAGAATTTTGTTTTTTTTTTCTTATTATTATGTTTGTATGAATTATTTTTCCTTCTATGATTTCGATCTTTCTTGGCTCTTCTATACAAATGACACCACATAACATCAAATCAATGCAAAAAAAAAAAAAAGGAACAGTTAAAAATGACACACACACACACACACATAACACTAACGAAATGAACAAAAAACATATGATGCAAAATTTTTTACGGACTTTCATTTTCAACAACATTTACAGGTTCATTTTCATAAACAAATCCACCAGCTGGAAATGCTGAATGTCCAAGACCATATAAATGTCCTGAATATTTTCCTTCATCAATTGAATCTTCAAAAAATAATTCTTTCATTTTAAAAAAAGCTAAACCAGTCATTAAACTATCACTACCAGCTTGATGTTGTGGACCAATACGTTCAATCTATAATTAACAATCAAATAATAATAACAAAAAAAAAACATCAAAATATTTTACTTCAAGTTGTTTAGCCACTTCTTCAAGACCACCTTTTAAATTTTTACAACTTTTCATTAAATATTTAACATCATATATAGTTGGAAAAAATATTTTTAATAATTCAAAAAATTCACTTTCTGTATCCGGTAATAATTTTCCTGTAAGCATTTTTAATAAATAACCAAAATCATAACCACTAATATAAAATAAATAAATAATAGAAAACTATAATATACAATTTATTAGAAATTTTTTTTTTTCATTATTATTTTATCTATAAAATATCATTTTTTTTTTTTTGAATTTATACTATTTGTTTAATATCATACAAAAAATATATTCTTATTATTAAATAAAATACATACGCATGAAATGAAAGCCATGTAACATTTTCCATAAAGACAACACCTGATGTTGTTAATAATTCAGCAAATAAATGTGGATCAATACCTTCTTCTTCATGTTTTTTAAATTGTATACCAGATTTTTGTAAAAGTTCAATAGAATCTTGAGCATACATATCCATTCTATATTGAAAATATATTCAAATTGTTAAAAGAAAAACATCGATCATTTTTGATAGCGAAAAAAAAAATACTTACGCTAAATTAAAATTAAAATTAAATTGATATGAACAAACACCTGGTGGACTTTTTCCTTGACTATCCATAAATGTTAAACCTAATTGAATAATTTTTAAAAAATCAACATTTAATTTTAAACATTGATATTGATATTCTGCTGTTGTTTTAAATTCACCTAATGGTCGAACAACAATACCAGGAAATTCCGTATCCTAAAAACAAAAAAAAAGTAGAATAAATATTTATTGTTTGAAATCTTACCATAGCAACATATGGATATTTAATAATTAATTTTCTTATAGCACGAAATTCTTCTTCAACATTATGTGCCCAAACATCTTTTATTGTATATGATGGAATTGGTTCTTCTGGCATAATTAATTTATATTTCTACAAAACAACAATTACAAAACAAAAAAAACGAATAATCAATAATAAATATTAGAAATATGTACTCACTAATATTAATAATTCATTATTTATATAGAAATAATTTTATTAATTACGTATACAGATTCAAATAATGATGAAACGATGAAGTAAACTTACATGTATATGAAAAAAAAAAACTTTACTAATACTTATTTTTAACCAATCAATAGTAAGAATTGTTTTTTTATAGAAAACTATATGTTAGTGACCTCTATTGGTTAAAACTTTCTTTTTATTTTATTAATTGATATTAATAAGATCGAATATAATAAAGACAAAAAATAAAAACAAAAACAATCAGAATTTTATTCATCTTGATGTATTGTTTCATTTTCATGATTATTTTCACTACATTGTGCATGACAATCTTTTTTAGTTTCAAAACGATTTGCATTTCCTAAAATTAAAAAATTTTATTTTTTTTTTAATCTCAAATTTAAAAATCATTTTTGAATCTACCTTGACAACCGCCATAAATAAAACTTTCACATTGTTTTGTTGATGGATTATAATAAAATGATGGAAACATTCCACGACATGGACCTGTTTCAGGTGCTAATTCACATTCTCTAGGTATTTTACAATTAACATTAATTGCTAATGTAAAAAATAAAATAAAAAGATAGATGATTAAGTTGCTCATGTTTTCAATGTAGTTGTGTAATTTGAAACAAAATGAAAATAAAACGCAGGTGTTCTTATTTTTTGAGACGATCGATCGGTTTAAAAAGATGGAATAAAAAGAAAAAACAAAAAAAAAAAGATTAAAATCGGTTAGTAAGTATGATTAATGTTTTTATTTTTTTTTTTTCGTACGTGGACGAATGATATAAAAGATATCTAACAAATATTGATATTACGAATCATTTGAAATTTTCTTAAAATATATATATCGATAAAGAAACTTGAGTTTTTTTTTTGGAATACAAATTACATTGTTCATGATGGTATATGAATTGTTACTCTTGCCATTGTTGGTTTTTCTTTTTTGATTTTGCTTATCTTTCGTCATTATTCGATAGTTATTCTTTGTATTATTTTAAAGTAAATCTAGAGTTCTTCTTCTTTTTTTTTTTTATTATTGTCGATTAAAAGATTCTTATCTAACCTTCAAGACAAACAGCAGGTGATGTCTATGTACATGCGTAAATAAATATATATGGGCTAAATCATTCGTTAGCGACGTGACATCGAAAATTGGAGTATACATATCTCGGAATTATCAGCTAGTCGAAGTGTGATATTTGCATGTTGTGCGAGTGTCTATTTGCTTCTAGATACTATGAAAAAATCAACATTCTAGAGTTTTATTAACGAAAAACGATCGTTAACGACGTGATATCAAAAAGGAATTGAATTGTCATTTGATATACTTTGATTTTTAAAAATTTTTAAGTGTTGCACAATTGACGAAAACTTAATATGTGATACTAGATATGATTCTTAAGGCTACGGAATCCTGGTGTAAAATTACTTCGAGCATGTCTAGACTTTTCAAAAAAAAAAAAAAGAAACAAAATCTATTCAGTGTTAGTGATGTGACTGAGTACGACTTGACTACCGATCAAATGTTCTCGTAACGAACTGAAAAGTTCGCAATCATATTCAAAGAGGATCAGGTTAATGATACGAGTCCCTAGAATAATACTAAGACAAATATTTTCGTCGTCAGCACTGTCTAAAGGTTGTGAAAGGTTGATTTTTTTGAAGTCTGAACGCGCTGAAAATTTTACCATATATGCGGTTCATACATGAGAGCCTATACTGAAGCTTTCAAATTCTTTTTTCATTCGATTCTCGAAATATTCACTAATTAGTTTTTAATTAATTAATTAATAACTATGTGAATGAACAGACAATTTTACATAAGCCCTATGCAAACACAATTCACTCAAAAAAACCAATACTGATAGAGAATGACATTTAAATATAACGAGTGAATGTTTCGTTTTCATTGATTTAGTCTATATACGAACCTCTCAGTGTTAATTATTGATTTTTATGCCATCGTAGTAAATATTTATTGTGTTTAATTTAATTAACAAAAGTTAAATCTATACTGTTGGTATTGAGCACATTATACTGATAGTTTATTAACAACAATTGTCCAGCTCGCATCACATAGATGATCAATATACAAAGGGGATGAAAGCGAAAATGCTGTACTTCCAGACAAAACCATAATGATGCATCAGATCTGTTTAACTATTTCAAGTGTATATTAGCCAGAGTCCAGCTTACCTAAGTCACCCGCACCCTAAATCCCAAATACTTCATTGTATTTCCAAAGTAGGAGTACGATGAAATATTTTGGGCTTTATTGTCAGATTAGAGAGCTGCGGGTCCATCCAGACCCGGGCCCGGGCCCAACCGGGTCCGGGTCTAAGCCTAAGAGAAAAGTCAGACCCGGTCTGCATTAAGTTATGAATGGAAATATATAACAATAACAATTGAATTCTACAAAATTGAAAAAGAAACAGTCAGAAATAATTTTACACTCATTTTACCTTTAAAGTCGCCAATAAAGAGCTAAAATTGTGTTCCCATTTCTGTTCATGTACACATAGGGTGCCAAATATTGGTGAAAAAAGGATCGGGTCTAGACTCAGCCGGGTCCAGGTCTGAAAATTTAGCTTTTCTGGGGGCCGGGTCGGGCTCCAAAAAAACATGGACCTGCAGCTCTCTATGTCAGATAGACTTGCGCAGGCTGAACTCCGACTAATATATCATAATACAGATCGATAGAAGACTTGAAATAGCTAAACAGATATGATGCACAGTTTTGACATAGTCTCGAAGTACAGCATTTCCGCTTTTTCCTCCCTTGTCAATATATAACATTTATAAAAACTATTCCGATCGAAAGGCTTCAGGACAAAAGTTCACATTGTCCGTACTTCAAAAATTAGACACAGACGAAACTTTCATACAACAGTCAATTCTACTCAGAATGTAATTAATATCATAGAATCACTTGTCAAAACATTTTCTTCTTATTGTTTCAAATACTATCAATATATATTAGTAATTCTACTCTTTATTTCATTGAACATATTTTACATTCGTTAAAGTTGTTAAACATACAACATACAAAGTATGAACGATAGAAAATATACATTACAGAGACAAACATCTATAGACAGAAGAAAAAAAGAAATTTATACACCGCAAAAATTGAATTAATTTGATTGAGAAAATCAAAAAAAAATTCAAATTAAAAATCAGCATCAAGTGTTAATTTATGTTCATTTGTTGCAGCCATAACACCAGCACGTTGATAATCACCAACACGTTTTTCAAAAAAATTTGTTTTACCAGTTATTGATATATTATGCATAAAATCAAATGGACAATCACAATGATAAATCTATTTAATAAAAAAATAGATTAATAAAAAAATTTTTCTTAATTTACTTTTGTACAACCAAGTTCAACTAATAAACGATCAGCAACAAATTTAATATATTGTGCCATTGCTGATGCATTCATTCCAATAAGTGAACATGGTAAAGCATCAGTAAGAAATTCAATTTCAATATTAACAGCCTCACGAAGAATTTCTTCAATACGTTCAACACTTGGTTTATGAACAATATATTCAAATAATAAACAAGCAAAATCTGTATGCAAACCCTAATAAAAAAATTTTCAAAATTAATATAATTGACGATTCAATCCTTAGAAAATCATATAGAACATAGCCATTCGGCTATTAGAGTGATTTAATTTTACGTTCGACAATAAGAAGTCAAACTAAAATCGTTCTTACAAAAATGTAATTAAATCCGTGCGATACACCAAAAAAAAAAAAGTTTTAGTATTAATTTTTTTTGACTAACCTCATCACGACTAATTAATTCATTACTAAATGTAAGACCAGGCATAATACCACGTTCACGTAACCAAAAAATAGCTGCAAATGAACCACTGAAAAAAATTCCTTCAACACAAGCAAATGCAACTAAACGTTCAGCAAATGGAGTTTTTTCATTTATCCAACGAATAGCCCAATCAGCTTTCTTTTTTACATAAGGTAATGTTGATATAGCATTAAATAAAATATCTCTATAAAAATGAAAATATATTCAAATTATTTGCAAAATTTTTTTTCTTATACCGTTCACGTGGATCTTTAATATATGTATCAATAAGTAAACTATACATTTCTGAATGAATATTTTCAATTGTTATTTGAAAACCATAAAAACAACGTGCTTCAGGAATTTGTACTTCTGATGAAAATTTTTCTACCTAAATATTAAAAATAAAATGTTTTTTTTTAATCTTTGATGATTTAAATTCTTTTTTTTAATACCAAATTTTCACCAACAATACCATCACTAGCAGCAAAAAAAGCTAATACATGTTTAATAAAATATTGTTCATCAGTTGTAAGACGTAACCAATCATTCATATCATTAGCTAAATCAACTTCTTCACATGTCCATATTGATGCTAATGCACGTTTATAAAATTTCCATATATTATGATATTTTATAGGAAATAAAACATAACGTGATGGATTATCACGTAATAATGGTTCATCCTTAATTAAAAAATTAAGGATAAAAATTATTTATATATTTATTCTTTATAATTAATTTTAAATGATTAAAAAAAAAAAAAACAACTTACAATTGATATATTTTTTTCATTAAGATCATTTTCATTTGTTTTTGTTGAAATATTAATGTCTCGCATGATATTTAATTTTTTAACAAAAGATATTGTCTATGGATAAAGAATGAAAATGAATACGTAATTGTGTTTTTCTCTCTTTATATATATATGTACAAAAGAATTAAGTCATTTGAAAAAAAAAAAACAACAAATAGACGAATAGAAGAAATATATCTTTGTCTATAATAGACGAATTCACAAGCGAGACGAATGAATATTTATGTTATCAAAAAAAAAAGAAATATATGTGTGAAAATTGACAATATAAGAAAACAAAAACAAACAGCTGTTTAATTTACACATTTATTTTTTTTCAATTGAAAATAAGAGAGAATTATGATCTAATTTCTTATCTAAGAAATCTTTTTATTACAAGAAAAATTTCACACAATGATGATGTCAAAGTTTTCAATTAAAAAAAAAAAACAAGAAATTATTACGAATAATCTGACAGTTCAATGAATATATATATTCAAATCGAAACATTTAATAAATATGATGTTTTATTTTAAATAATTTGATAATAGACGATGATATAATTAGAAGTGCGACAAGTTTGTTTATCTTACAAACAGTAAAATAATCTCGAACCGAATGTATTTTATATGAAATTTGAGTGCTTGTGACGAACTTTTCAAATGAAATCTTTTTTTGTTATAATAAAAATACAAGTGTTAAAAATATAATGATAAATTTTTTGAAATCAACCATAATAAAGGTTTCTAATAATAAGTAATGATATTTTTCATAATTTTTCTTGATGTAGAGTGCTAAAAATTTTATCATATATATATATATATCTAATTAAGATCTTTTATTTGTGAAAGTTTTAGCCCTCTAGTTATAACTACTGGTGAAATACGTAAGTTTTAGTACACAATTTTTATGTTAATTTCACAAAATAATGCAAAAGTTTATGTATTTCATTATGAGTTATAACTGGAAGACTGAAACTGTCACAGATAAACGATCTTGATTAGATGTATATATATGATAAAAATTTTAGCACTCTACATCAAGAAAAAGTGTGAAAAATATCATTATTTATTATTAGAAACCTTTATTATGGTTGATTTCAAAAAATTTATCATTATATTCTTAATAATTGTATTTTTTATTATAACAAAAGAAAATGTCATTTGAAAGATCATCATTAGAGTCCTGCACGGGTACTACTTTTCGCACCCGGACCCGGCCCGGCTCATTTTTTTCAAACCCGGAATCCGACCGGACCCGGTCATCTTCCACCCGGAACCGAACCGGACCCGGATAGCTCTACCCGGTACCCGACCGGACCCGGCCCAGCCTTGAAATAGTCAGCACTTGATTGTTATTGTCAAAATTATATTCACTTTTCAAACTTTTATTTCATATGGCAAAATATACTATTATTTTAATTTCATCAAGTAACAATTTGTACCCGGACCACAGTTCCGGGTCCGATCGGGTGCCGGGTATCCGGCCCCGTTGCAGGACTCTATCCTAGAGTGTAACATACTTTTACTTGTTAAGATGTCATCGACTACCGGTCGGGTACCGGGTATGCTCAAATCCTGCACCCGACCCGGCATTTTTTTTATACCCGGCACCCGAACCGACCCGGCAAGTTTGTACCCGGGCCACAGTTTCGGGTCCGGTCGGGTGCCGGGTACCCGACCCCGTTGCAGGACTCTAATCATCATAAGCACTCAAAGTTCATATAAAATACATTCGGTTAAAGATTATTTTCTGTTTGCAAGATAAACTAACTTGTTGTACTTTATGAAAAACCATATATGTTACTCTAAAGCTTTATATATATTTTTGTATAATCTCAACGAAAGTTTCTAATTTCAGACTATCAGTAAAAACGAATTTGATTAAATAATTGCAATATTTATTTTTTTCATATAACTAAATAGACGTAAGACAAGGTTATTATTAAAGTTAATAATTTTGTATGAAAGTTTGACTAGTATAGATGGATGATATGTTGGTATGAGCCTAGACATTAATTCGGAACTCATTGAAATAAACACAAGTATTCATGCAGATGTAAATTACTAAAAATTAGTATTTTTAAAACTGTAAATGTCTATTTCGAGCAAATAACATGCATCAAGGTTGATTCTAAGTGATATATTATCTTCTACATAATTAAACGGGAACAGTAAACTACATTTAAGACATGTTGTTTTTATTTTTCTCATAAGGAAAAATAGTTTTAATTAACTTTTATTCTATATAAAACTAAAACAATAGAAGAATAATATTATCTATACTAAATTTAGATATGAATATCTCAAAAAGACATAAATCAGATATTCTCTACTAATATCGCCAAGTAATCACGAAGTTTTATCTGAATGAAGTTACCATAATTCTAACTATTTAACATTTGGAAAAAATTCATTTTCATTTATTATTTTAAATTATAACATTATCCATTTTGTATTTGAAAAATATTCGAAGAAGAATGTAGTGGCAAAACCAGGATTTTAACGGTGGAGGAGCTTAGCCTCACCTGGCCACTTCCTGGTTACGCCACTAGAAGAATAGTAACATTCACAAATTAATTATTGATCTACTATTTCTAATAGTGATAGTTCATATTATTGAGATCTAGTACAAGTATTTTGTAATTATCAAATCGCTTTTTCTAATTTTTATATAGGATATTTAAATTGTTATCATTTCAAGCAAATTATTATTGAAATACATTTGTTGTAAACGATAAAACTTTTTGCTATGTTTTTATTTTATATTCAAAAAATAGTCGTTGACTTTTTTTTTGTTGTTTAACAATAAAAACAATAATAACAACAATAACAACAACTATCTTTCATGTATATATTTTGTTTTGATATATTGTTGTAATATTAATAGAACAAACAAAAGTTCTTGTCGTTTTTTTTTTTATTTTGTTGTTCCTTGTGCTGCCATTAATGTACTAAGATTAGTATTAATCATAGCTAAATTTGTTTTCCATGATTCAAGTTTTTCTTTTAATGCTTGCCAATGTTGTTTTGTAAATGTTCGTTGAACTGTACTATCGATAATAACTTTACGAGCAAGATGATCAATTTTACAACGTATCATTTTCGTTCGAACAGCTTAAAAAACAAAAAAAAATTTTTAGAAGATAAGATTTTTTTTTTTTTGTGTAACCTTCAATAATAAATGATTCAACTTCATCAGCTGTTATTTGCATTTGTTTTTCAATTGTATCAAATGTTATTTCTTTTTGATTTTCAGCACTTTGAAGGAATGTTAATAAACGCATTTTTGTAATATTTCGATCATGTTTAACACCTAAATATTAAATTACAAAAAAAAAACAAAAGAATGTTTTTTTTTTGTTTATATATATATTTACCTGATGATTCAATAAATGATTTTTGTTTACTATAAAATTCTAAATAATCTTGTAAACGACCCGAAACAAATATATTTAATAACTAAAAAAAAACGTTCATTTAAAAAATTAAATAAAAAAATTTTTGTTTATTTTTACATTATGAATATTTTCACCTTCAAGAACTTTTACTGGTTCAAGTAAAAGTAAATGATCCATGATAAAAACATTTGGATCATTAATACTATTAATAATACATCTATAGTAAAACACAAAACAAAAAAAAAAGTATTTCCAATGAAAAATAAAATTATTTCTTATTATACTTGAATGCATCTGTACGAGCTTTTGATGCAGTTTCTTTTGTATATGTACCAAGTAATTCAAGTAGAAGTTGTAATGCATTTGCACTAAATAAATCATTTAAAAACAAAATAAATTTTAATATAGAAAAACTAATAATACATACGAATCTCCTGTAGCTGCATATGCTTCATGCATATTACGATAAAGTTCTTGTACTTGTTCAGTTGATACTTTCCATTCTTTGACCCATTTTTTAACCTATAATTAAAGAAATATTCAAGAATTAAAACGATGAATACGAAAAAAATTTAAAAATGATACAAAAGTTCAGTACTTGTTAGAAAAAGTAAAGTTATACAATAATATTTCATTCAAAATACCTAAAAAATGTCGTGTAATCGGCTATCAAAATCTTTAAATATCTTATGTATGGGTTTAACCAGCACGATGTGACCTTCTTTAATAGCATTGAAATGTTTGAGTTATAAAACCATAGATGCCATTGGGAAACATTTGATTATTTCTTCTACAAAGCTGAAAGAAGTTTTTCTCATAACGCAGAGTTGGGACCGGCCGGTCTGTGCCGATTTACAATTTTTTTCGAATATGCCATTTTTCTTTGATAAAACATGTCGAAAGCAAGTTTAAATGTATTTTATCAAAATTAATCAAACAGTATTATTCAAAATTTATCAATTTAATCTTTTTCTGTTCGTCTGTACCTTTTTTTTATTTTTTAATCGAACTGTATTTCGCTTTGTAAAAAGCACAATAAAAAAAAAACTGTGTTACTTGAGATGAACTTCTCAATTTATCTAGCTGATGTATGTTAGAGACTAGATTTGAGTTTGAACTATCGTTCTGAGAGGAACGTAAGGTTTTTTTAGTAAAATTTAGGTGAAAAAATTCAAGATTCATAGATATTTTCTTTTAAAGCTTTCTAAAATAGAAGCAAAGAAAAGGAAACTGAATGGTTTTAAAGCCATTTCCTTTAACCGATTAAATATGATATGGCAAGCCGGCCGATTTTTACCGGTCTGAAAAACTTTTGGAATCGGACCGGTTCGAACTCTGTCATAACGTCTAATATAAAAGACGAAAAATAAAAATAAATTTCTTAATGCATGCAGAAAACTTTTTCATTCAAACATATTCTCTAAAAGTTTTTAGCCTTCAAGCAAATATTTTGAGTCGGATGTTTTTTATACAACATTGTGATAGAGACTTTGCTTTCGCTAACAAGAAAACTATTAGATTTTCACGAGTTGTTATCACACTATACTAAAAACGAAATTAACGCAGAAATTTTGCATTATTCCATTTAATCTAACGTACCTTTTCTGTTTTATTTTGCTATATTGAAAAATAAAATAATATCAGATAGAAAAAACATTCTGTAATGTTTTTGTACCAATAAACAATTGTTTTGTTTTCCTTCAATAAAGTTATCAGTAATGAAGGAGGTTAATATTTTCTTATATAAATTCCAGAGATCGAAAAAAATGAATATTACCAGTATACCTGAGTAACTACGAAGTTCAACATCTATTATACACAAAGTATTGTGTATAAACTTTGATATCATCAGTCATGAAACAATTCTAAACAAATCACTAATAGCTGTTTGTCTCGAATAACTTGTATAAAACATCTGTCACTATTGCAAATGAGCAGCTCAAGAACTCGGCATTAGATCGACCTTCTACTCAGAGTTATAGTTAATATTAGTTGTAGCGAAGATATTGAACTATTAAATTTGCTTCTAAACTATACCCGATACCGAAATTCAGGAGTATTCATCCTTCAAAACAATTTTTCATATTTAACTTAGATATTTTCCGTACTCAATATTTGACAATACAAAAATGTTAATTGAATAATTGATACAATCTACATATAAAAATACCTGATTAATTCCAACTGAAACAGCATTAATACATCGATGATTTCGTGCACATTTGATTAAGTCAATGAGAATTCTATATTTATCCGTATTACTACCTTCTGGTACAACATAAATTAAATTTGTTAATCTATAAAAAAAACAATCTTTTCTAGTTTTTTTTTTGTATAAACATAAAAAATTAATTTCTAATTTACACGCGAAGTTTCATTGGTCCATATTTTTCTGGTAAATTAGCATTAATAATAGCTTCCGAAAAATTTAAAATTGGTCGATTAATTTTATCTTCTGGTACAAGTAAAATTAAACTCATAATCGAATTAAGAAACATTTCCATTTCTAATAATAAAATTTTTCATTCAAAAAAAAAAAATAATACACAAATCATTACCTCCTTCTGGTATTGTTTCTTTAAGTACATTTCTTAATTCACGTAAAATTGATTCAACTTTACTTTCTAAATCATCCGTACTAAAATCTAATTCTGGTTGACCACCATGATCATGCATAAATTTTTCAATATCCTTCAACTAGCAAAAAAAGGTACAACATTAAATTAAAGATAAATATATTCAAAAAGATTATATACTTGTGGTTCAGGTTCAATATCAGAGAAAACAGCAGCAACACATGTTGCTATTTAAAAGAAAAATTAAATTATCAATATACAAAAATCGATAAATGCTCACTTGGAATATCGTCTTTCATTCTTTTAATAGTTATTATCTAGAAATACAAATATTTATTATGCAAAGTATTTTGTTTTCAGCATAAATATTTTAAAAAAATCACACGCACACAAAAATTATATCTGTAGTCAAATAATTCACAATCTTCATATTAAAAGAGACATATAAGAAGAAGAAAAAAAAAATATTATTATCAAGATAATAAAAAAAAAAATAGTAAAAAGAACCGATTCGTTTGATATACTGTTGACAATAACCAAAAAAAGAAGGAATACAATAAAGGCAAATTTAATTAATTTCATTTATTAATGTGAACCATTAATGAAAGTATTATTATTATTATTATTATTTAATAATTGTTCTTGTTCATATTTTACTTGATTAAGAAATAATTTAGCCATTTGATACTGTTTCGATAATGATAAACCTTCAGTTAATTTTAAAGCAGCTTCAATACGTCTTAGTTCAAAATTATTTTCAGATATTAAACGATTACGTATATGATCGATTGTTTGAAATTGTTCAATTGTATTAAGACTAAGATCAGAAGAAGAACTAAAACAATAAACAAAACAAAAAAATACATTTTTCAATATAATATCACCAAGATAAAAGAAAATATAGTATAGTTTAGAACCCATATTACCAATGGTCAACTTTCCAATATCACGATTATCGAATATGAAGAACGAGACAACGGTTTGGTTGTTGGAACACTTATAAATCAACCGTCCGAAGTGATTCATCACTTTTGAACTCATATTTTAGGCATATACAGGGAACCTCTAAATTCGAATAATCCTAAAAGGGTTCGGACCCATAGGCCTCTGCTACAGAGTTATACCCATATTAATTTAATTTTAGCCTGGGGCATGATATGTATATACAAAGATACTGATGATATTTTGTCCACAGATAAGTCTACTCGTAACTAGAATGTTCTGAAAATTTCAGCTCAAAAGAATGTTTCCTTCACTATCTTTTATGCGATCTGAATGATTTTAGAAAATTTAACATCTTGCGAAGGAAATATTCTTTTGAGCTGAAATTTTTAGAACATTCTAATTACAAATAGACCATCTGTGGACAAAATTTCAGATCGAAATACCATCAGTCTCTTTGTGTGTACATACCGTATCATAGCCTAAAACTGAAGTAAAATGGCTATAAATCTGTAGTGGGGATCTATGGGCCCGAATTCTTTTAGGGTTATTTTAACCTAGAGGTCCCTTCTATATGCCCAAAATATGCGGTGAATCACTTTGAACGGTTCTCTCGTTAACTCTATGCGAATTTCTTCTTTAGGATGTTTTCCGAGCGATGAGATTTGAGATAATGATCCCACTGACCTCTTGTTCTTCTTCAGCAGAGCTTCAGTATTTTATTTCTGCTTTTATTCATCAATCCTACGAATCTCGGCTCACTCGTATTTATATTTATATTTTTCTATACCTTATTATTTCATTTCCTGAGCTAAGATAATTATCAAAACCATTTTGAACAGTAATAGGATGTGAATCTCTCGTCATTGTTGTTGATGAAGCTAAAAAAAAACAAAATATAAAAAATAAATATTTAAAAAAAAAGTCTTGTTTTCATTCTTACTAAATGAATCACTGAAACTATCATTTGATGATACTGATGAATGTGGTCTTGAATTTATACCTGAAGATCGTTGTGAAATTAATAAAACATCTTTTTTATGTGATGGTGGTGTAGAATGTTGTTGAGAAGTATTCATTTTTGTATCTGCTAGAATTCGATTTCCATTTAATTTTGTATTAATAGGACGAGGTGGTATTGGTGGAGGTGTAGAAGATATATTATCTGATGAAGCTTGTACACTATCAGCATTTTCATTATTCATTGAATGAACTATTGCAAGTGTTTGTAAATTTTGAATATTTGAATTTGGATCTAAGTTTTGCTAGAAAAATAATATGCATACATAGAAATAGAAGAGTCTTATGAAATTTTGTTTTTTGTTTTTTTACATTATCGAATTCATTTGAATTTGATTCTTTTCTATTATGTATTGTTGAACTATCAAATGGATTAATAATTACAGGTTCAAAACCTTTTATTTCACTACGACAAAATGGACATAATGATGGTGGTTTAGAACTAGTTTGCTTCTGAAAAAATTTATTAATACAATAAAAAACAAAAATTAAAAACCTTTCTTTTGTTTTTTTTTTTACCTGCCAAGCTGTTAAACAATTTTGACAAAGTAAATGTCCACATGGTTGAATTTTACTATCTTTATTATTAACTGAACATATTTTACATAATTCAAAACTTGTACCCATATCACAATATATTTCATATTGTTCTTCTGATACATATATACGATCAGTTTCTGTTGGTCTTAATACTAATGATAAATCTATATTAATATTTTTTCCATTTGGATATTTATAACTAGAAGATATTTAATTAAATTAAATTTAAAAAAATTATTTTTATACTTACTATCCTTCTCGTTCTCCATCGGTTAATGATTGAATTAATGATTTTGTTTGTGGTATTGTTTGAAGTATTGTATTTTGTGTTGTTACATAACCAATAGCCCATTGTCCAAGACGTGTACAACTTAATCGAAATAAATAACTACCTGGTTTATTAATATAATTTGTTAATATTGCTTTGACTTCATCATATGTCATAAATGCCATATAACCAGGATGTGTTACAGCTAATAATTTCCAATTAGTTAAAAGTGATGACCATGGTTGAAATAATCTATTTAGAAATAGTTAAAAAAAAACACAATAACGATTAATAAATTCAAGTAAAAATTTCTAGTTTAGAGCTTTGCATTAGATTTGAAGCAAAGAATGTCGTAGAACAATCAAGTATAGATGTAGAAGACGATGTACCATAACAATCAGATTATGATAGGATAGTGTAATTAAACTGTTAGAGAATGTTTCTCTTGGATTATAGAATGAAGAAACAAAAAATGCTTTTCTTGTAGATCTCTCTTTGATACCACTGTGAGACTTATCATTTTTAGACCCATCAAATTAACATGTTATAAGAAACAATCAGAGAAAAAATTCCTTGATTAAAGTGATAATAACGATTCAACCGAGTCGGATAGGATAAGAGTCAAAGTTTTATACGTTATAGTAGTTCAAGATAAGGTTGGGATAGTGGCGTAACCAAGGTAGGGCTAGGTTGAGCTCCGCCCAACCACCGACATCAACTTCGTCAGCTAAATTCTCTTATCAGCCCTACCATCCCACAGACCTCATTTGCCTGTGCTCAATCACCAGACATTTAAGTGGCGCTAAGCCCTACCACCGTCAAAATCCTTGTTACGGCACTAGGTTGGGATTATTTAAATTGCGATTAAGGAGTGAAATTCGTCCTAATTTTTCATCATTATCAATAATAACCGGAAGAATATACATCTTAACGTTAAATTTATTCAACTTATCCGAATTAATATTTTCTCGAATATGAACACACTCATTACATCAATAACATTATTTATTCGTTTATAGAAGCAATTCAAGAATCATCAGTATAAAGAAGACTTATTCTATTGATCGTATATTGAATGTGATTCTTTCATTTGTGTTCTGCTATTTTTGGTTTTATTCATATTGTGAATTACAATTTTTGTTTTTCTAATAGAGCACATTTAATAAATTTTATTATTAGTAGGATACTTTGAAATGATTTTTATGTAATTCATAATTTTATAATATAGATAATGATATATCTTATATACAGTTCTCTATCTTTTATTAAAATGAAATGATAAGATAGATTTGTAGGTAAACATACAAAGGAAAAAAAAATCGTTCTGAACGTAGGACGTAAAAGAAACGGGTTTAGGACAGTTGCGCGCGGACACTTGCTTGCGATAACAGTTACATAGGATCCTATAGCGAGCAACTGTCCGGATCCCAAAAAAAACACATCCTACGACATTTTCTGGTACTAAATGCAAATATATTTGATTCTTACATAATAACAATATTTAATCTTTATATTCTTATGGCTTCCTCAGTAAAAAAAAAAGTCAATTTTCATCAGAAATAAATCATAAACGATATGATAGTACTTCTTTCTTTATTAAAAACTTTTTAATGATTTCTATCTTTAGAATAACCAACAAACTACATTTTTTCATCATCTATTCAAACGAATTTCATTATAAGCAATTGTTTTCTTTTTTTTTGTTTGAAACTATAGAATTTCATTTTTTTTATCGTTCTTCTTATTCTATATAAACATATATTTCTATAAATAGATTATTATTATTTTTCGAAATATCGAATATGTCATATTTTTTTTCTTCACATAAAAAAAAATCGAACATTCTAATTTAATATTACCTTGTAAAAACATCAAATTCAAATATTGATACATGATTATTATGAGTTAAATCAATAGTATTTTGTAAAGCTATTGATTCATTAATTGATTGTATTTTATGAATATGATTTAATTTTTCTTTAAATTCTTCCCATGGTACAATAGTTCTTCAAAAAGAAAAAAAAAAAAAAAAGATTTTTTTTTTTTTTTGTGTGTTTTATATAATCATATATTTTTATACCTATCATTAAAATTTTTTTTCCAAAAATCATTTGCTTCTTGTTTAGTTAAACGAAAACGTTCACCTTCATAAATACCATTTATAAATAATGATTTTAATTCAGTTAAATTATGTGAATAATATAATGAAAATTTAATAAAATTTTTTCTATAATTTGATTGTTCATTATATATATGATGACCGGCATGTTTAAAACATTCAATTGTTTTTGTACATAAATCAATAAGATTATTAATAAATATATGAAAATATTCAATATTATTTAATATATGTATACGATCATCATAATAATTTATTATTTCACGTAATATTTGATAAAAATCAGGTAAAATATCAAGCATATATGGTGGAGAATTTTTTAAATTCATTTTAGGCATTTGACAATATTTAACAATACGATCCATTTGTTTCCAAATTTTTTCCATTGTACGTCGATCAATACGTATAGATGTACGATTTTGATATGAATGACTTGTATTTATTGCATTAGATAAATTATTATTAGATGAATCTTGTCTTGAACCAAGAATACGTCGACGAAAATTAGTTGCTACTGCTTGAGCCATGATTTTTTTTTGTTTTTTATAGACAAACTTTTATTTTCATCTAGAAAGAGATTTTATTGTAAAAAGAAAAGATTTACAAAAATCATTAATTAATATACATATAACTAAATTCAATAATGAGTTACAAAAAAAGCTAAAAACAATATTTGTTTGACTTTATGGACGAAAAAAACAAAAAAAAATGTTATAAATTGAATACCAGATCACATGTAAAATTGAATGTGTAGAGAAAAAAAATATTGATAAGTATTAAATATGTGTTTTTTGTTCTTTTAAACAAAATATGTATCTTGTGAATCAGAAATTTTATTAGAACTTTTTAAATCACATGGAAATAACCATAATATTATTGGACCTAAACAAAAAGAAATGAAAATTTTTTAGGATTAGTTTTTTTTTTTTACCAGAACCAAAAACATTTTGAAATAGAATACGTTTTGGTGGTAAAATTCTTTCTTTTGTTCGAGAATTTTCATCTAATTTTAATGCATCAATTAAACTACGATCATTTAATATTGATTGTATTTGATCAACAAATACAGTTATAACAAATATACCAAATAGACATGATTCAATACAGAGTACTATAGAGTGAATACTATAAAAAAAAAACAAAAAAAAATTTTATAAATAAATTAAAACTTTTATTTTACATACACTTGAGCTTCAGATTTATTTGGATAAACAATTAATGACCAAATAATAAATGATATAACATAAAGACTTGTTAATCCTAAGAAATATTTTAAAATACAAAAAAAAAAAAAATATTTATAAACATTAAATTTTACCAATATAGAAAAGAAATAAAATAAAATATTTTTGATTAAATTCACCAACACAATTATTTATCCCTAAAAAATATCAAAAATTATTTTTTTTTATAGAAAAACAAAATATTAATAAAATTTTAACTTACATGGACAATGATGATCTAATCTAAAAATAGAAATCATATATCAAATCGATTTTTGTCTAACGAGGGAACATTTTCAACTGTCACATCACTTTTGAGTCAAGTATATGCACATCCTGTAGGTCCTAATGATCTATGAATATTCTGAAAAAAAGTTCATGCTGCTAGCTTATTACTATCGAGATATAGCATTTTTACTATATGTTTAAGCAGAAAGTCGTGGTCCCCCTCAGGAAAACTGAATTTCGACTTGAAACTTTGCATAAAGATAGGCCTTAATGAGAATAGTTTATTATGAAAGTTTCAGATCTTTTCATTGCTCTTACGAGGGAAGGTCCCCGGGTGCCACGCTCCGTTTTGAATCGGACATATGCCATTTTGTAGAGCTCAGTGAGACTAGGAAAAGCTTAAAAGGGTTCTTCCCCATGGGCCTTGGGAGTCGAGTTATGCCCTCTCTACTGAATTTTTGACCATTTTTTCGATATTGAGCAGTAAATCAAACAACAGAGTTTTGATCTGAAATTTTGCCCATAGATAGGTCTAATCGTCTTTAGAATATCTTGAAAATTTCAGCTGAAAAGAATGTTCCTTTATCGAGATATTGGATATTCAAGTAGGTTGGCTTTTTGCGCCTTGTCTGTAAAAGCGATGATTTTTTAATAATTCAATATCTCGACAAAGGAACATTCTTTTCAGCTGAAATTTTCAGGATATTCTAAAGACGATTAGATCTATCTATGGGCAAAATTTCAGATCAAAACTCTGTTGTTTGATTTACTGCTCAATATCGAAAAAATGGTCAAAAATTCAGTAGAGAGGGCATAACTCGACTCCCAAGGCCCATGGGGAAGAACCCTTTTAAGCTTTTCCTAGTCTCACTGAGCTCTACAAAATGGCATATGTCCGATTCAAAACGGAGCGTGGCACCTGGGGACCTTCCCTCGTTAGTCTGAAATAAAAATATCGAAATCTGCTGGTGTATATCAGCAATTTTACTATAGCTGTATCTTAGGCTGAAGTTCGAAACTCAGTTTTTCAGGTGGAGCACGGCTTCTTTTCGTAAACAAACAGTAAAAATGCAATATCTCGGTAGTAATAAGCTAGCAGTACGAACTTTTTTTCAGAGTATTCATAGATTATTAGGACCTACATGATGCGCACACGCTTGACTCAAAAGCAATGTGACAGTTGGAAATGTTCCTTCGTAAGATAAAAATGAAATTTTATTAGTGGATTCCCGTTTCGTCGAAAATGAAAAAGCGACTGTTCCTGTTTCGTCGAAAAACTAAACTGTCATAAAAAAAATAGTATAATCAGAATGATAAGCTAGATTTCTTTGATTGACTTAAACTATAAGAAATTAATTGATATTTTATTAGAAATTCTATGATACAATAAAAATGACTATAGTTTCTTAGAATGTGAATAAATTTCTCTAAACATCTATCCTATTATACTAAACTTTAGAGTTCTATAACAAAAAAAAGAATTTTTTTTTTTTTTATCAATTGACACTAGGAAAAATAACAACATAAAAACAAATTTCTAACCTTCTAACGCATCGTTTGCAGATTCTAAACAATTACAAACTATTACACATTTTTAATATAAATAAAAATTTACCTGCAATGATGTGAACGAGCTGGTCGATATGTATCACATCGATTACAAACTAATACAAAATAATTAAAACATATTTTTGATATTATTTAAAAAATAAATATTTATCACAAACCTGTCCAACCTTCTTCATTTGGCTTGAGAAAAAGAAAAAAAAATTAATAATTTCAAAAACATTAAATATATATAGAAAATTTTCATTTTTCTTACTTTTACAGGATTATTAGTACTAACATTTGTTTTTACATCAGAAAAATCAAGTCCTTTTTTTGGTAATGGTACAAAACCAGGATCTGTATATGATGCACGAACATGTGAAATAAATGAAAGAAAAATAAGTGTACAAATAATCAATGCATTCAATGTTCCATATAAACTAAATTATTTTATAAATAAAAATTTTTTTTTTGTAAGAAAATAAATTAAATTAACCTTTCATTAAATAATGGTATAATTAAAATAAAAAGAAGAACATAAAGACAATGTAAAAGCATTGAATATGTTAATAAAATACAAATAATTCCACATGGATCTTTTCGAAATAACATTTTTATTTCTTTTTATCTAAAATAACTAACTAACTTCTTTCTAGTCTATGACCACATAATATTCTATGAATCATCAATACGACTACAGAATGGAGTTTCATTTGTATATATCAGAATGATACTTATATATTTAAAATCTTATTTATTTCAAGAAATTTATTCACTATCTTTAAGATGAGAATTTTTCATGTATCAAATCTTTTCTGATGGAATCAAATAATGAATTTTATCTGGTGACATCTTATGAATAGTATGTTATTGTAAAGGCGTTAACATTCACTAGAAATTTGTAATGGCGAATAATGACAGGTAATATATATGAAGAAAAAGAACGTCTCATTCTCATACCATTTATATAATTATAGAGTTAGTTGTGTGTGTTTTTTTTCTATTTTCGATATGTAAATATGCTTTTTATTTTACATTAAATTAATGATCAATCATAATAAATTGAATTTTATATTATAAAAGGGCATAGAATAAGAGAAAAACATGATTGCTATCTAAGATGGCGTAAGCCATCCCGAAAAGTCCTTATATCATAATTAAATCTATCGAAAGTGAAAACAAATTTCGCACAGAATATTGATCATGTGTTAATTGCGAACTTCAAGATAGACTGCGAATAATTGCAGAGCATTAAAAAAAACATGTTACATTCGACTTACTTATAAATTATTCGCTATTAGAATAAAAACAAGAGTTATCAAATAAAAAAAAAAAGTCAGCAAATGACGTAAATAAATTACCGAGATCAAACTACATGTTTAATATGAATATCACCTTTACTTCGATGATAACTTAATGATAATAAATGTAAAATTAATTTTCTTTTTTTTTATAAAATTAGAAGAACATTATTTTCTATCGTCATTAAGTGCTCGTATACAAATCTCATATCATCCAAAAATCTTAAATGAAAATCAAATCACGTACGAAAATTCACCAATGAACTATGTGTTGCTATATCAGAACCAACAATCAATAGTTAATCTGAAAGGAAAACGAATCTATTCTATTTGCTATAGCTGTCTAAATAATGTTTCCTATTTAAATCAATTTTTGTAATTCAATGGCAAAATGTTTTCATGACAACAGTATAATCTTGATAAAAACTAATAAAAGAAAACCAACAATTAAGTATCTAACTTCAAATACTTGCCAGTAAACCAAACAGAAACAATAATATACAAATGAACAAGAACTTCTCTAGAAAGAGATGATATATGTTATTTACAGTGATGATATTATGAAATTCATAATTATGACAAATTTTTCATCATACTCATAGTATAATGACATCTTACGAATGAAACTTATTTTAGATAAAAATAAAATATACAGTTTAGTAGAACATCTGTTTCACATTATTCCTATAGTAATTATTTTTTTTTTAATGTCTCAATGTGAACTAGATGTTGTCACTCTTAGTGTGCTTAATACATACAGTTGATTGGTATTTTTCGTCACACCCTTTTTCGTTAGATCATAGGCTATCCATTTGTAGAGGTAAACATTAGACAAAACAAATATATAATATTCTATTGGTTTTTATATGAAAACCAATTATATCTTTGATATTAATTATTGGAATGTCTACTAGCGCACTCTGATTGTTTGTTAATGTCATAGTAAGCAAGCACAGGAATCTTTAAAAAACAATGAATTCCAATGCGATAATTGATTTTTTTAGTGGTATCACTGGTAAATATATATATCATATATTAACTAAATATTTTTGTTTTTTTGTATTTCATATAGGCGCAACAGCATCAGTTTTAGTTGGACAACCATTAGATACAATAAAAACTAAATTACAAACATTTCCTACACAATATAAAAATTTTTTTGATTGTGGACGAAAAATTTTTCATGAGAATGGTATACGTGCATTATATGCTGGTACTTCACCATCATTACTTGCAAATATTGCAGGTTTTCTTAAATAGAATTTCTTTTTTTTTTTTGTTCTTACTTTGATTAAATTAATTTTATTTTTTCACAAAAAGTTTAGAAAATGGAATTTTATTTATGGCTTATGGTCAATGTCAAAATATGATGTGTTTTTTACGAAATAAAACAGATCATGAACAATTAAATCCACTTGAAAATATGGCAGCTGGTAGTTTTGCAGCTGTATTTTCATCTATAGCTTTATGTCCAACAGAATTAGTTAAATGTCGAATACAAACATTGAATGAAGTACAAAAAATGAATTCATTGAATGGAGAAAATATAATATATAAGAAAATGTAAATTTTTCTTTTTTTTTTTTTTATGGAATAAAAATAAAACTATTGAATAGATTTGTCTTTATTATTTAATCATTGATAGTTCACCAATTAATATTACTCGAAATATAATACGTACAGAAGGTATACGTGGTTTATTTCATGGTTTAACAACAACATTAGTAAGAGAATGTCCAGGTTATGGATGTTTTTTTGGTGGTTATGAATTAACAAGAACACTTTTAATGCATAAAAATCAAAAAAAAGAAGATATTGGTAAGAAAATTAAAAAAAAACGCATTTATTTATTTAGATTCACAATTTTTCAATAGGTTTTATAAAAACATGGATATCCGGTGGAATGGCTGGTATTTGTTTTTGGATAGTTATGTTTCCTATTGATGCAGTTAAATCACGCATACAAGTATTTAAACCAAAAATGAACTTTCCAAAATATACTTTACAAATAATACGAAATGAAGGTAGAATTAATATTAAAAAACATGATATATATATGTTTTTTGTTTTTAAATAGGTTTTATGGTACTTTATGCTGGTTTATTACCAACTCTTATTCGTACATTCGTGGCTACTGGTACATTATTTATAACCGTTGAGCAAACACGACGATTTCTTAATCAAATATTCTAATCTTCAAAAAAAAAACAAAAAATGACATTTAAATTCTTTTTTTTTCGTTTTTGTTTTACGTCCAGTATAAATGTTTGAATTTAGTTTTTTAATGATTTTTATTGTGATAAAAAAAAACCCATTGATTTCCTTTTTTTTTTGTTTTTTTCTTTCATATTTTTTTATTCAACAAGAATGATCTATTCTCATGGCTAAAACATATATTAATTCACAAGACACAATATTTTCTTGTTTTGTACGTGGTGGTACATCGACTCTTGCTCTTAATTGTACTAATAATCGGTTAATAGCAGCTGGACAACAAAGTAAGAATTAAGAAAAAATAATGTCTTTTGTTTTTGATTGTTGTCTGATTTTTTTTTTAATTTAAATAGATTTTCAATTATTTTCTATTGAATCAATTGATAATATTGAACAATTTAAAGAACTTCATGATTTTCGTAATGCACCACGACAATCATCTATATCACGTTATGCATTTCAACCAAAAGATGTTGGTTGGAGTCCACATTATGGTTGTATTTTTATTTTATTTTATTTAACATAATCAAAATTTTATTAATATTAGAAAATTGTTTTGCAACAGTAAGTGGTACAAGTGGATATTTATATATTTGGGATGCAACACGATTTATTACTACTGATCAATTAAGTATTCATAGTACAATTATTAATCGTCTTCAATTTCATCCAAAACGTAGATTTGAACTAAAACAAATAAATTATTTAAGAATTTCAAAAAATGTTTTCTTGTTTTAGATCGAAATCTACTATTAACTGCATCTCAAGATGGATATGCAAAGGTATAATTAGAAAAAACAAAATGATCTTTTCAATCATTACTATTCTTGAATTGTTTGTGTATACATCGATATGAAGTAGAGTAGGAATCTAAAGTATTCAGAGTAATTTCAAGATCATATATGATCTTGTAGAATTATATATGTCATATAACTAGTTCAATTGATCGATTGACACAATCTTCTAAGATCGTACTACGATCATTATCTGATCTAACAATAACAAACGAAAAATGAGTATGAAAAATCTTGCTATTTTCTAAGATATCATTATAAGATTATAGAAAAACTTGTGTCCAAACTTTATCAGTATCTTATAGTTAGATCTATGTAAGATTCACAGTAACATTTTACAGTCAAATAAATCTCAAGCTTTACATTAAGATATTCGTACAATTTTGTAAATTAATTTAGTATGAATCTTGTGACATTCACTTGTCAGTAATCTTAATAAGATGCTTACATTTAGAAACCTTAGTTACATATTTATTTGAGTCCAGACAATCACTTTACACCATTCTCGCCTTAATCATATCCAAATTTCGAAGTGTCTCAAAATTTCACAATGTTGTATACAAAATGTCATCAAGAAACTCAAACAAATGATTTGAAGTGTTTCGGAGATGTTCAAAAAAGGTTTTTGATTGTGATATTCATCGTTTGAAAAGATTAGTGGAAGCAAACTTCTGCCTCACTGCTAGCGAACTCTTATTGAATATAAATTACTGCTGAACAAATCCAATCTCAATAGTAAAAGAACATCGTTTATGTTGTGAAACGAAAAAAAAAATGTATGTAAAATATGAAGTTTAAACAAGAAAAAGCTTTTTACAGAATGATTGTTTGTATTTCTAACGTATTACAATACAAAAGTGAAGTTATCAATGACAAAAATGATTTTTGCAACAAGACTTGAATCCTATTGAAATTCTGTGGCTCATTTTGACAAAAAAACTTATCTCAAAATTGGTTTATTCACAAGTGATTTAAGATTTATCCATCAAAAATATACTCGCATGAATAAAAAAAAGTATCAAAAATAGTAATTTGTTTTGTTAAATTATCGATTTCTAGTTGTGATGGATATCCATTAATAATATCGAATGAAGAGTATAGACCTTCTTATTTAAAAACTTTATTGTAGAAATACAATAATTTCAACTTCTAGAATTAGAATAAACTTAGCATTCGAAACAGAATCAGTTCTGGAAAAAAAATATAGAATTGAATTTTACATTCATATGAGTATGTACAAAGTTAGTGATTCTCTCTCTCTCAAACAATTCTCAGTTCTAATTGTAAGTTCAAAAAAGATCTGCTTATATGAATCAGGTGTTTTTTTTTATTGTACTAAATCGAATAACTTAGATCTCGATTCACAAGTTGATTAAAGTTTGAAAGAAATTTTCCAATAAATATTGATCGCTTGATTCATTACCTACTATTACTTATATTTGCAACTCACTTAAGTATACGTGAAAGGATTGGTAGTTAATTTTTGATGGGCGCACATTGAGAACGTAAATTGTTAGCAGCTGTCTATTGTTCGATTATCATTAGTTCTCTAGCGATAATAAATCATTGCTAAGATTATCACCCTATTATATTCATATAATGATAATAAAAACGCATAGGTTATTTATAATATTAGGATTTTAGTTTGTGCGAATAGAACGATATATAGCGTTTTCGAGATCATCGAGTTATGATTTCGAAAAAAAAAAAACTTGACTGATCACTACAAAATGTTTTGTACACAAATTCTATGTAAAATCTTTTTTGTTTTTTTTCGTTTAGTTAATTGATTTTCGATTAAATAATGTTGATAAAGTTGTAACATCATTTCGACATGCAAGTAAAGAAGGATTTCGTGATATTGATATTAATTTATCTAATACAAATAAATTTGCTTCTGTAATAAATGATCAATATTGTGTGCCAGTAAGTTCAAAAGAATTTTATTATCTTTTTTTCTTTTTTTTTTCATTTATTCTAAGATATGGGATATTCGACAACCTTCACAACCTGATTCTTCTATTCATACACGAGATAAAGTTTTATGTATTGCATGGAATCCTCATGAACATTTTTGGCTTGCTACTGGTGGTATTGGTGGTCATGATCGAACAATACGTGTATGTAATTAATATTCTATTAATTAGAACTTTCTATGATATTAAAAAAAAAAGTAAAACAATAGGTTTGGGATGCAAAAGGTAATGATAATCGACAAGATCCATTATTTACAGTATATACATTTGGTCAAGTAACTAAACTTAGTTGGCGTCCAACATGTCGTTATCATATTGCATGTTTTACACGTACAGCTGATCCTCGTATTCATGTATGGGATGTTCGACGACCTTATCTACCACAAGCATCATTTTGTCATCATCGAAGTAAAAAAAACATCCGATAATTTTTATTATTAATTGAAAAATAAATCATTTACAAAAAAAAAAAAATTTTTTTCTTTAGATGATATTGAAGATTTTCTTTGGCGACCTCATTCTGATAATATAATATCTGTTGGTCGTGATGAACGTCTTATTCATGCTCCTATAACAAGTGCAATTCAAAGTGAAAAAATTGTTTCAAGTTTTTCATTAAATGTTACATCAAATGGTTATGTACATGTATCAATGCCAAATATTGATAATGATTATGTACATACATTATATAATGAACAATATATACCATTATCATCATCAAATATACGAATATTATATTCACAAGAAACAATATCAAAATGTTTAATATGGGATAAAATAATTAAAGGTGAAAGTATTTTACAAGTTTATTCAAATTCTTCATATGATAATTCAGTTCAATTATTTCATCAATTTGCAAGACGTTGGACATTTGGTAATGGTGATAGATCATTAATAGCATTAGCAAATATATGTGATATAAATAGTAATGTTGCTGATGATTTAAATCGTCCAGATTTAAAAGCAACATGGCAAGTTATTAAAATGTTATATGCAAATTATGATGCTTTAGAAAATTATCGAAAATATTCATCAAAAAATTCACGATCATTAACATTAAGTCATTGTATTAGTGATCCAATAAGTAGTCATCGTCATCGTCATCATCATCATCATCAACCTGGAAGAAAATTAACAAGTATTGAAAAACAAAGACAAGATAATAAACGAAATGATGAATTAATTGATGATAAAAAAACTAAATCACAAGAACAAAGAATTTTAACAGATTCAAAATTGGGTAAGAAATTAAAATAATTAATAATATCGAAACTTGTGTTTTTTTGTTATAGAAATGATCGATGATACAGAAACGTATATTGTTCGAGATGTACTTACAGATGATATTATCTTTATCACACCTGAGGATATATTGAATAATGGCAATGCTAATGATATATCATATGATAATGATGTAAAGTTACAATCACTTCTTTTTTTTTTTTGTTAACTTGTAATCGCTAAATATATTGTTTTTAATATTAGATCGATATTGAATTAAGACGAAACTCATTACCTATATCACTCATATTCAATGATACATTACCATTAGTAAATACAGATGGAGATTTTAATAGTTTTTCATTAGATCCACTAACTCGTCAATTAACTGAAGTAATCATACTTGATGATGATGATGAAATAGGACATAAAAATGAATATAATAGGTTAGTTTTATGTTTCTATTTTAGTTTTTAACAATAAAAGATTTCGATACTATTTTTATGCCATTAACAAACATATATCAACAGTAGGTTAAAATAGCAAAAAAAAACAAAGTCTTGATTTGCTCAATCGATTGCTAAGCTCACAAAAGAATATCTTCTAATACCGGATGCTAATTGAATTCCTATTTATCTCATAATGATAACATTCATTACAAAATTTTCATCTAAAATAGAATAATTAGCATATTTTTATACTTTTATCTTAGAAAAAGTATGTTTTGCATTCGAATATTAAATGTCCGAGATTATTCGATTCATTCATAAAGGACTTTAAGAAAAATATAACCTAACGGAAATTTTTTAAATACATTATATTTTAATGAATAAAATATAGTAAAAACAAACAAATGAATTCATATTTAGTTGATTGATTTAATCGATTTTTTAATTAAATCTAATTGTGATGAATATCTACTTATGTGAGTTGAATAAGAGTTCGAAATCATCCCTTGTAATATTCAATAGATCTATATAGACTTTTTTTTTTTGTTTTAGTACTGCTGGTAATATGCAAACATCTATGCATTCGACTGTACCTGATGATTCCGAAAAATTTTTTACTATTGATGAAAGTTATTGTCCTACAATACAAAAACATTCATTAAATTTTGATGATATTATTCGACAAACACTTTGGTATTATATTGATAATGTAAGACAAATTTTCAATATTAATATATTGTAATATTTTTTTTGTATTTTGTTTTATATAGAATGAACTTCAAGTAGCTGTTCATCTTCTTTTAGCATTATATCCACAATTAAATGAACGTAAACGTATTGAATTATTCAATGGAGCACATTTACATTGGCTTGTTATGTATATTGGTATATATATATATATTTATGATTAATATTAATAATGTTTTTTTTGTGTTTTTGTTTTTATAGAATTATTACAAAAAATGCGTTTATTTGTAAAAGCAAAACAAGTAACAAAACATTGTATAGAAAATGAAGGAATTCCTCTTAGTTATAATTCTACTGAATTTGAGGGTAGTATTATTTTTACTGTACAAGCACCAATATTGAAACGTTTTTCAATAATACCTTCTTCTACTAGTAAAAATCCTCCGTCTATAGTTAAAGAATTTATGTGTTCTATTTGGTATGTTTAATTTTTTAGTTTGATTATAAAGAAATAATTTCTTATTATAATTGTAAATATTTTTTGTTTTGTTTAGTCGAATACCATGCCGTGGTCTATTTTCATTTTGTGGTGTTTGTTCTCATGGTGGTCATATTGATCATATTCAAACATGGTTTAAATTACATGATGAATGTCCATATGGTTGTGGTCACCGGTGTCAATATTTTGATAATAATCAAAATCGTCGTAGTTGTGTTTCTTAAAGACTTAATTATTTTGTCTCTAAAGAATTGTTGGTCTTTCAAGAATAATTGCAAGAGAATGTTTTTTTTTTTCATTGCTTTATTTTTGAATCTCATGCATTGTGCAGTTTTGATATAGTGATTAAATCTGTTTTGTTTTGTTCTTTTTTAGTGTCTTTTCGGTGAGATTATTTTGTTTTTTTCCTAAATAAAAATATAATTTTTTTTTTTTTTGTGTGATATTATTAGAATCAAGAAACTTTATTTTTTGTTATTTAACAAAAGAAATAATCATGAATTATATATCTATTTTGCTTAAAATAGTTTAAATGAGTAGATTTATTGTTTATAATATTTTCAAATATTGATAATGATTAAAACATATTGATGCAAATTTATACAATAAAAAAGTTTCTCGTTTCATAAAATCAATCACTAGACAATATTGATGAATTTTTCAGCAGCAATTGAAGATGGCATTTGTGTGGGCTTGTTAATTTAAATATGAATGATTGAAGATCTTCGAATCAGAATTAGGGAATTAACAGACATTCTAAATATTTTATATTCATTTTTCTGGAATCATAGGGAACTAATTCTTTAATAGTCTGTATTATATTATATGACAAAAGTATATTACGTAAATCTTTTGGTAAAAGAATTATCATCTAGAGAAATAAAACATATTGTAAACCTCATGAATCATCAAGGTATTTATTACCATGTTTGATCATCTTCCTTTGAAATATATTCAAATTCAAAGATATTTTAGTGGCAAAGAAAGATAGTCATATGTTACAAAAAGCAAAATAATTCTTTTTTTTTTCTTCGTCTTTTCCTTTACGATAGAAATATTTCATTTCTCACGTAAATAAAATTAAAAATGAGACACGTTATGTAGAGCGATCTCTACAATCAACGTCATTATCCTATTTTTTTTCACTTTCTGTTTCTTACAAACCACAATTGGTGAATGAGTAACCTAATGTTTTTTTTTTATTATTATTATGATTTGTTGAGTCTTGATTTGTTTTTCCTGTACATGGACATATCTCATTAAAGATATTCACAATTAAAAATGTTTGGCCTTTCAAATACAGACACTTTGAAATGTCCCATTACTTGTGAATTATTTTGTGATCCAGTGACTGGTCAAGATGGTCATACATATGAACGAGATGCAATTACAGCATGGCTTCAAAAAACTGGAACAAGTCCAATCACACGTGAACCAATGACTATTGATTCATTACGACCGAATCATACTGTAAAACAATTAATTGATGAATTCACATCATCATCATCACAAAAACATTTTCTATTCAAATATGGTATTGATATTAGAAAAGCAGAAAGACGAGCTATATTTCAAGCACCTGGTAAAATTATCTATAAAGCTGAATGGATATCAAAACGTGGTCCTCCTGTTGTTCTACTCAAAATCGATGGAGCTAAAGCAAGTCGAGAAGCATCATATTATGTTCAACTTGGTTGTCATCCTCATATTGTACATACATATGGTATGGTTGAAAATGATACTAATTCTCTTATGCTTGTACAAGAATATGCAACTGAAGGTGATCTTGCTGAACTTTTAAAAGAAAATGAATTTCGACCATCACAATTAGTTTTATTAGAAATATTTTTACAAATTATTGATGCAATGATCTATCTTGCTGATTATGGTATTGTACATGGTGATTTAGCTTGTCGTAATGTACTTGTTTTTCGATTTAATGATGCTGATCCTCAACAAAACTTAGTCAAATTAACAGATTTTGGATTAACACGTGCCAGCACATTGTATTCTGTTGTTGGTAGTACAGCATCAACAACACTTGTAGTCGTTCCTTTGAGATATGCTGCACCTGAAATTCTTCAAAGTGCAGGTCTATCAAATTATTCTGAAAAATCAGATGTATATTCAATGGGCATTTTGATGTGGGAAGCTTGTTCACAAGGACAAATACCTTATGCATCAATTGAAGATGATAATGAAGTTCGTCGATGTAAACTCAAAGGAGAAATATTAAGTCGACCTGAGAATTGTGATGAAACATTATGGAATATAATTGTTCATTGTTGGCATCAAAAACCAGAAGATCGTCCAACATTTAAAATTTTGAAACAATTATTGTTAGAATTACAAGGACGATCGTTAGTTAGGTATGTTCTAAGAATGTTTTAATCTTGTTTGCTTTATTAATGAGTATTTATTATTAATACCTAGCTCTAATGGTAATCAAAATAATGGTATACAAAATGAAAAGGTAGGATGAATCGAAATTAGTTATTTTTTTCGGAGAAGAATACTAGCAATATAAACCATTGCATATACTTAAAGTTCTAAAATGTATAGTTATATTGACAACAATGTTAAATGATCAGAGTTAGGACACTAAAAAGGGTGGGAGGTGGGTGTTTGTGCAATATCTCCTATCTCTCCCATACTGATACTTAGTTAAGATTCTAGGGATATCCGTAGAAAACATCAGTAACATTCGGATATGGCTTTAATTTGATGAGAGAACGGTTTGAATAAATTATGTACTAGTATGTTGTACAAAACGTTTAATTTAATTACAACTCTCTCGTTTTGAGAAAATCTAAAAACTCTTAATCTATATTAAAAACACGAAAGGGCTATTGGTGCTTTTAAGATCAATTTGTATACTTCTACTGTTCTTTTTCTTCATTGCCAAGAATATCTTGCTTAGAGGATAAATTATCATTTAGTTTTTTGTAGACAAAAGTAGTTCGCAATACAATTACAAGTCACAGGCAATCACAAAGACCGATCTCATCTTCCCGTCAATCAAATGCACTTCCAAGAATAGAAACATTTGTAGATCAGCCTTCATTGAACATAAGTCCTTCGACGACCACAATCACATGCGAATTTTGCAATAATCATTTACCCGATCTCGGAAAATACATTCATGATCAGGTGAGTGGTGTCAAATATTACTATGAAATGATATAAAAAGTAATTTCAAAGATAAAGAATATTCCTTTTAAACCTCATGAACTTAAATCAAGAAGACGAAAGAGGAGGATCAAGAGAAATAATGACAGGCAATAACAATTTTACAGCTTACCATATTTTGCTATTACTAAAAGAATCTGGAAAAGTATAGTTATTTCGAAAAAAAGATATCACACATAATCCCTGTATACTATAAGTATGCCACATTATCTCAGTGAGTGTGTAGCAAATAACGTTCCAATAAAGAAAAATGTTTTCATTCGTTAAATAAAATATAAAAACATAGGATGGTCACAAAGTTTATAATATTCAAAATAAAATTTCATTCTTTGAAACCATTTCTGAAATGTCTCTTAACATTCGCGAACTGGCATTAAGTTGAGCTTCTTGGTGATTGCTTTCTCTATACTTATAGTATTTGAATATGTGTCAAGTATATATTTTAAGCAGCTCATGAGCATCCGATAATCTAAATGAGTAAGGTTAGAAGAGTATTGTGGATGAACGATAACTTTGATTTTTCTTCTTCAAAATGATCCTTCATAATACCTTTCATATGGATAGTGAATTATGATGATGCGACTTATTGCCATTTGTTGCTCATAATGGCTTTTTTGTGAAAACTGTTGAGAAATCTGTTTAAAAATTCATCACTATAATATAGTAGCACTGAATGACGTTTTAGTAAGTAATTGATGAATAAATAATGGTTTCTTGACATAAAAAGACATTACAAACATTATTTTTCTTACAATAATTACCTTTTCGCTACTGTTGAAAGGCTATCTTCTGAATTGTTACCTATTCTTTTTTTGACGAGTCCAAGTCTTCCCTGAGAACAGTACCTACACTACTATTTGAGATGTCTAAGCTAGTGGTAATATGATCTATGCCAATACGTGTACTATCATTCAAAAGATCTTTAATAGCATCAATATTATATACCCAATGAACAACTTAATGATATAAACATAACTTTGTCCACAAGGGATAGTTCATTTGTCATGCAATTGTGTTGAAGAAAAATCTTATGTAAATTGCTTTTCAATCTAAACATAGAAGTGATCAAAAAACCATTGAGAACTTGCTGTAACAGTTACGTATTTGTATAAGTTCGGTTTGGTGCCACTCTGAAAATGTTTTGACTACCTCTGGTAGCTTTCTTTGACAAATCAACTGTGTAAAGTAAGCAAACACAAGACGATATTATTCGGAGAAAGAACATAATAGAAGGCGTTATCCAATTGACCATATACAGTTGTTTTTGAAAAACATTCTCAAAATTACTAAAAATAATTGATAAATTCTGGCACTTTTTTTGTTACAAACAAATTTGAACTTCACTATCCAAAATAAAATTTCGATTTCCTAGAAACTCTAGTATTCTTCCCTTTTCACAGTTCATGGGAAGAAAACAATAATGAATTAAGTCTATTCCTTGAAGTCTTTTGATAACTTCCAAAATTTTTCTGACAACAATCTTGACGAAACAGTCAATGAAGACTACTCCCCACTCTCTATCATCAAGAGATGAAGTGTTCTGGCACGGAGCCTGAGTCACTAATTGATAAAATCCTTGCTAGAGGCATATTGATGCATCATGTAGCTTTTAACATAGGTAGTCCGATTTTTACTATTGATAATCATTTTACACTCAAACTATACCTCTTTTTCATATAGACTCTAATCACACTCGATCTTACTGGGAAACAAATTGGTGATGAAGGAGCCCAACATGTGGCTGAAATTCTACAACACAATAAAGTAATCCATTTCTATTCTCACCATTTCTACCGCATTCAATTTGAATGTTCTATTCGCATAGACATTAATAACATTGAACCTCACCGATAATGGTATCGGACAGAAAGGTGTTCGACATCTAGCGAAATCTTTGCGTGACAATCGAGTAACATACCACTTCATTCCATGAGAAGTTTTTCAAATTTTTTTTATATCTGTTGAACAGATACTCACAAACTTGCAACTTGCTAACAATAATATTGGAGACATTGGAGCTCAATTCTTAGCTGAAGCGATACGCCAAAGTCAGGTAGTAATAAATAACTTTCTTGCCATAAAAATGAAAAGCAGTCTGTAGGCATACGACCAAATAAATTATTTGTTGACACAACTCAGTCCAAACGACGCACGAAAGTTTGCTGCAACACTACAAACAAATCAAGTAGAACTATTTTCTTCATCATCAATCGTTTTCACCTAGAAACCACTTATTATCTCATATAGACGCTGCAGATATTGAATCTTTCGAGCAACAACATTGGCCTTCAAGGAGCACAGTACTTCGCAGAAGCACTACTAAACAATCAGGTAACGCTCTTTTAAATATCATGCAAATACTGCATATCTATCTTCGCTCTTGTTTTGCATAGGCTCTGACAATACTGGATCTCTCTGGAAATAAAATTGGTAATGCGGGAGTAGAAAGTCTTGCAAAAGCACTACGAAGTAATCAGGTAACACTCGTTCAAATTCTATGAAAATGCATTATATTTTTCTTCGCCTTCGATTTACATAGACATTGACAACACTAAATCTTAGAGTAAATAAATTTCACGATGCTGGAGCAGAGTATCTTGCTAATGCATTAAAAACTAATAAGGTAACATTCGTTAAAATGTAATTCCAATTCGCCATATCCATTTTCGCCATCATTTCACAAAGACATTGACAGCTCTGTATCTTCCGGGAAATAAAATCGGCGATATAGGAGCAAAATATCTGACTGATGCATTAAATATTAATCAGGTAATATTTTTTCAAATGTCTTGTAAATCCATTATATCTATCTTCTTCTTCATATGCCATAGACACTAACAACACTGAATCTTTTGCTTTGTGGAATTACCAATGTAGGAGCACAGCACCTCGCAGAGGCATTACGTCATAATCAAGTGATAGTCTTAGAAATCCTAGGTATTCATATTCACTGTCACTTTACATAGACATTAACGACGCTGCATCTCTCATCCGATCAAATAAGTGATGAAGGAGCAAAGTATCTTGCTAGTGCAATAAAAAATAACCAGGTAATATTCTTTCCAATGTTATGATAATTCTTTATATTTATCTTCACTGTCATTTCACAAAGGCATTGACAGCTTTGTATCTTCCAGGAAATAAAATTGGCGATGTAGGAGCAGAGTGTCTTGCTGACGTATTAAAGACTAACCAGGTAGCATTCTTTCAAATATAATTCTAATCCTTCAAATCAATTTTCAATGTTATTTTATATAGACATTGGCAATACTAGACCTTCAGGCAAATAATATTAGCGATGCAGGAGCAAAGTATCTCGCCGAGGCATTAAAAAATAATCAGGTAATGCTGTTTCAAATGTGATGAAAGTCCTTCATATCTATCTTTACCATGGTTTTAAATAGACATTGACCACACTGAATCTTGAGTCCAATGAGATTGCTGATGCTGGAGCACAGCATCTGGCAGAGACATTACGGACTGTTTCGGTAACATTCTATGAGATGTCTGGTAAATTCTCCATATTTATTTTCGCTGTCATTTAATGTAGACATTGACAACACTCGAACTTCGTGGGAATAACATTGGCATTGCAGGAGCAAAGTATCTCGCAGAGGCACGAGGAAATAATCAGGTATTATTTATACTAATTTTATGTTCAAAAAATTTTGTATTCTTGTTTTCCAAACAGACTTGGACAAAACTGACTTTTTGAATGGAATAAAATTGGTGACTCCGTAGGATATTATGCCGGTTCAACATTACAAAAACAGTTAGAGAAAACTTTTCCTGTCATTGCGGTCTTTTTTTTGGCATGCATATCTGTAGTGAACATCAGCAGTATTTTATGTCTAGAATATGGAGACTCTTAAACTCGACGTCTAAATGTAAAATGGCATTTACCCGTCTGTGACATACCTATTTTCTCTTACCGTTTGAATAATAGCCAAGTGTTGTCATACATATACATACACTTTTCTGAAATCACCTGCACAGGGTTGTGGTGATAAAGATTGATACGACTGATAATATGTAGCCTCTTAAAAAAAAGTCACTATGATGGCACTGATAGCAGCCATTCTCGAATTAGTTAATTTAATCGATTAATGGTCACTCGAGTTGAGTAATCCCCTGGTGAGTTACAGCTGAGATCAATTATATTGCAGCGAAGATTGTTCAGCTTCACCACCGTTCGGAAAAGCTTGCAGATTGATTAGAAGAATTAATTATGTGAGCAGTATGCTTCATAATTGTAGATATGGACCAGTATGAATTACCTTGGAGCTAGCCTGA